AATTGTCCTTTTCTGCTTTTGTTAATGAGACGCCTGTGTTGGAGGGTGTGAATTCCCTGTGGTATAACTCCAAGGAATATTTTCCAGATATAGAGGGAAGCTTTAACACTCCACTACTAAGGAACCAAGCCTGCAAATAACCACTGTTATAAATGTGCATTTTACCCTTTTTTTGTCACAGCAATGGGAAGGCTTGTCTGTGTTTTTCTAAAACATTAAAATATAGAAGTAAATCTTGATGCTTACATAGTCTTTTTTAGAATACTTGTTTTCCAAGGTGAATAAAAAAAGGTGCTGTAAGAAAAGGCATTTTAGATATGTTCAGACAGTAAAAGAAAAGGGTAAGAGTCAGAAAGCTGCACTCACTAGATTTAGCATCACTACACCATGAGAAGCATTTTGTGCCAAGCAACAAATGCAGTAGACCAGATGTTTTATGTTAAAATACATTACAGTCAATACAGTCATTATAGAGAAGGTCCCGACCTCATTAAGTGAGACAGCTGGACCAATATTACATCTTTAAAGTTGCACTAATCAATTTAGAACAGTGGCTGCGTAATGTATAAAGTGTTCCTTGTAGAAAAGCTCAGAGAATGATCTCCCAAGTCTGCAGTTCCCCTCAGGTCTATTTAGAGTTTTAGTGCCTTTAAGGTCATTGTTTTGGTGTTATGACCTGCAACTTTACTGTTCTGGTTCTGAACTTGCCACTTTCATCAGCCAGTGTTCAGTTGCAGCAGGCAGCTGTTTGCAGAGGAAAAGCAAACAGCAGACAGACAAAGTTAGCGAATGGTTGGTGAACATAGAGGAGCATTTAGCTGCTAAGGAGTCAGAAATGTCTGGCTCACAGAGGTAGGAGAGTGAATATTGGACTTAGCTAATATCTGATGGATGCGATAACAGGCAAAAGTTTGCTTACATGTTAGCCGTATTGATTTTACATGGCCGTTTTATGTCAAATGTGTGCGACTTGTGGTTAAGTTCTGTGTGAGTTTAGTCAAAAGTTCTTGCAGGTAGACTACACGTTGGAGCCCGATCAAATATAGCTATCTCTCTGTCACGGCTTGTGTGATGTACATCAGTGATGGAATGGACGTGCACTGTGCCAGGGATCAACTTCACTATTCCACCTGACTGCACCATCAAGAAATGTTTATGTGTATAGTCATGGTTTAATGAAGATGGGAGAAGGCAAAAAACTCTGCTATACTAGTGTTTTGCTTTGGTTGTTTGCCATCCCAGATAGCTGTATCAGTTGTGTTCCTCTGCGGTGTACTACAAGGGATTAAATAAGTCATTGTCACCTGACTCTCATTTCTGTTACAGATGACCCGCTTTGTTGGGCTGATAATGTATAGTCTGATCCCATAATTTTTAGACTTCTGAGTCTCGAATTCCTTGAATTTCAGTTATCTCTTGCCAACATGTAAAATCACTTAGTGTGCCTTTACAGACGCCAATGTGATGTGTTTTCCCTTATTTTTATGCATTTGCCTTCCGGTTTTTTACATGCGTGGACCATGATCAAAGACATTTTAAAATGAGTTTTGCAGCCGTGCAAACCGAAGCAACAGATTCCTAGGTCAGCTGCAGTCTTGTTGACGGAGACAAACTCCAACAAGCCAGCTTTTTTGTTGTCTTTTATTTCCTTCTCTGTTTTTCCATTTTCCATTTTTCAACCTTCTCTGTGTTCTTAAGCTAAAGTGGTTCAGAGCTACTTGCTGTCTAATCTTGCAGCGAGTGTTTTAAAAAGTCCTTTGCATGTGTTCTTGTTTACTCACCTGACACACACTGAAAAAACATTCCCTCATCTCACCTGAATGGATCATCTTTCTTTCTCCCCGTCTTCTCCTCCTCCCTCTTTATTTCCCTCCTCTTTTGAGCGTTCCTTTGCTCCTAAGTGAACTATGTTCTCCACATCAAAGCACCAAAATCCCTTTCTTCTGTCCAGGAGGCTTCAGCTGTTGTGGTGCAGAGGGAACACAACAGTAGTTCAGAGCATTGCTTATGCATTTGATGAGGTTATCAGCACACAGCATCACATGGTTTCTTTGCTTTGTTTTGTTGCAGCCATAGAAAACAATAGAAGGCTTCCCCACTGACAGCTCTTAGGCTCATAGCATTCAATAATTTTTGTTTTCATGGACATCAGCTTTCAGCAGGGAGCAGAGCCTGTAATTTCCCTGTCCGCAAGAAAACACAATGCTCGAGATTTACTCCACATCTGTTTGCACCAGCTCCTCGGCGTGAGGGATGAGGGCACACACACACACAGACTCGCAGAGTCAACGTGCTGGTAATTTAATTGATCCTGTTGTCAGAAGGAGCCCCCTACTACTTTTGTGCAGAGAATGAAGAGGGGAGTAGGGAGGTGGGGATAGAAAGCAGAAAGGAGAAAAGGGAGCAGACAGTTTAGTAGACGCAGAGAGACAGCGAGCGAGTAGGATAGCATGGTGGGTGTGCTATGTGAGGAATGCCGGCTCATGTTGTAACTAGAACTCCTGAAAGGCCCTGTTCTTTCCATACCACTGGGACAGTTTAGACCCTGTTTTGGCAAGCGGCCAAATGCCTAACCCCTCTATCTGTCTCATAATCAATGCGCCTTTTTATGCCTTTAGGCTCTTGTTTTAACGCATTTATTCACATAGGCCTGCATGGAAACTGCACTGAAACGATACATCAAATATAAAGCATGCCTGTACCCAGTTTGTGCACATTAATGTTGCCATTTGACAGAGAATTCCCTCCAAAGCCCCCCTGCGAGGCTGTGAATGTGGCATTGAAGGTTCCAGTGGGAATTGATCTTCTAACCATGGAAGTGAGAATGCCTTCTTTATCCACTAATCTCCTGAAGAAATGGTAGACATCCTGTATGAGGTTCCCTGAATGTCATAAAATTGTATCCACATAACGTCAGAAAAGTTTGTGGTCGTCAGAAATATCAATGGAATTAAAAAATTGGGTGCATTACAGGACAGCACACTGTTTTTGTGTTAAGGAAATTAGAAAAATCCCCTTCCCTTCATGTTTTTTTTTCTGAGCTGAAACATAACATCAGTAAACCAGAAAGAAAGACATAATTGAATATTTAATCAGTGCTCCGTTAGGGACCCATTGATATGCTAAGAATTGACAAATTGTTTCATATTCTTTTTGTGTTTAGTGTTGTAATATATATTCTGATTTTCTGACATGCTACACTGCTTTTTCAAAGCGATTTTTTATGCCACAGCTGCTGCTGTTAAACATTCCCTTTTGATAATGTAATCTATTGTTCTTTTCCACAGATTTTATCCATAGATTTCTACTTAAAGGAGACATATTATACTGCATTTCCAGTCCTATATTGGAGATCTGTGACTCCTGTGTGGCAGCTTTAAAAAAATAATTTTCTATCTTATACTGGCTCTTCATGTAGGCCTTCATTTCAGCCTCTGTCTGAAATAAGCTGTAGATGCTCCTGTCTTTTAAGGGCCCCTCTCTCAAAGCGCACTGTCTTCTGATTGGCCAAGACCGAAGCATGTTACCAGGCTGTTGTTGTCGCTGGGCGGTACAGGCAGACCGAGCTCTGTCTAGCTCCATGTCGTAGAACAGATCAGTTGGTAGAAAAATCAGTTCAAAACAGAACATTCAGAACAGGAGGAAATCTGAGGTTTTTGCTCACAGGGATTTCTTTTAAATACTTTAATATTTTAAATACTGAAGCAGATAAACAAAATTTGGGTGCCATTCATTTTATTACTTACACCTATGCTTTTCCTGCTGTAACATGTCAAAATGTCTTTGGTGAAAAAGGCCTTAAACTGCTGTTGTGTTTGTTGCCCCCTCGAACTTTACTGCAACAGTGGAATTACTTAAGGGAGTACAATGTTTTCCAAGCTGATAGAAATAAAAAAGTTGTAATAAACTGGAATTATCCTTAAAGTATTGTGATTTTTGCTATCGATCTTATTTGGTCCTTTTATTTGCTTTGCTTCCTGTTTATCTTAATGTTTAACCATATTGTCTTGCTTTACCATTTTCCTACTACACCACGACCATTCAACTACTAAAAACAAACAATTGTTCATTATTTATTTATCTGCTGATTAGTTTTTCCTGAACTTATGTAGTCTTTAAAATGTCAGAAAACACTGAAATAAGTCCATTATCACTTTCCAGAGCAAAAGTATTGTTTTCAAATCTGAGAGTGATTCCAATTACAATGATATAGAACAGAGGAAAGCACCGGAACATGTTAATAAACTATATCGGTTATTAAGGATCTGTCAATCAAACTACACGTTTAACTGACCAGTCGCTCAGCACTAACCTGTACTGGTGGTGTCAGAGACAGTTGCCAGTTATATGAAAGAATCTCGGCAACTTTACTTTGCTTTCTCTTCCTGTCGCTCTCTGTCCCACATACTACACACACACTTATGAGATTTTCCACACCTAGGTGGGAGAAAACAGTGTGATGAATGGCTCTGTA